AAAGGTAATATCGAAAGAAATATACTAATACATTTCCAGGAGAAGAGCATATAAATAATTCGATGCATTCGTAAAACAAATATTTTAGTACTGAATATAAGATCCAGCCGATACAAAGTCATTCAATTTTCAGCTGTTGCATATCTTAAGAAAAGGAATAAATAAAACAACGACTCTATCAAGTGAATCGATTATATGACAAAGTTTTTGTATATATAAATGATATATAGTTTGAAGTACATGATAAATTAGAAAAATTCAATTAAACAGATACACAAATAACATATCAGATATTTTGAAGAAAGAATGGTTAATCGATTACATACAATGATGATGGCGACTATTATGGAAACAAGGACGATCCCTAATATAAATATATATTCTGTCTTTCTACACCTGGTGCCATGTTTGTATTTCGAAGTATATACAGTCCGATTCAAAAAAACTTGCACAAAATTGAATTTTTTGTAGAACGATTTTCTTACCGTTAGAAAGTAACTAGAAATTTGACTTTTTCAGGGATATATGCTCGTTAGATATACTACACGTTGGCTATATAAAAGTGTGATTTCTCTTTTTTTTGATATATTAATATTTACTCATGACATAATCTACTGATTTAAAAAACTGTCATATATTAACACTACGTTATTGTAATAGAGGCATGGATTGCGCTCGTGCTATTCATCATGAAATAAAGATATCATCAAGGACTGTCTATTACAATATAAATAAATTGAAACAAAAAAAATTTACCTAAACAGTGAAGAGGAAATGGTCGACTATGTACCACATGGAAATAGAAAAAACCTATATTGCTCAATATATTCGATGTAACAATTAAATAATCCTCAATGAAATTAAAGAAAAATTATCGACAACTAATGGTTCATATTAAGCTCATACGCTAAAAAGTTGTCTTCTTTCTGCTGCTAGAGAAGAATTTCGTCAAAATTGGTGTTTACAACAAGATAATGATCGTAATCATACTCACAATATTTTCAAACAATTGATCAACAATAAAATATTAGAATTATTCTAGTGCTCATCCGATACTGGAAACGCTGATCCTATCGAGAACTTGTGGTCGATCGTAAAACGCAAAGTTGAAAAAGGAAAATCGAAAAATATTGATGAACTAGAGCTTTTTTTATGTGAAGAATTTAAAAATGTTGATGTTAACCCTTTACGGCCGGCTACCAGAAGACAACAAGCAAAAAGTTATATTTCTATATATTCTTTGTTGTTTAGTTATAGGGATCAATTTTCCACGGCCGACTTTTTAAAAAATGCCGTACTCCCCTACGGTAAAATTGTTGCCATTTGGCAGCATCCGGCCGGAAAGGGTTAATATTGTAGTGAAAATTATGATGTCGATGAAAAAACGATGTTTGTTTCTTATTGAATCTTAAGGCGAACGAATAAAATATTAAAGTATAGTGTTTAATAGCACTCGACATAGGCTATCAGTCAGTAATGGAAACTACCTGAGAGTAACTTATATATGGAGATATATTTACAAAACAAGATGTGCAAATTTTTTTGAACCGGACTGTAGATAAAGAAGAAGAACGATAATAACAATATTTTCGATTTTTAAAATAAATTGGAAATTAAAATAGTTTTTAGATTAATTTAATTTCCTTTCAATTTTGAATTCATCTTCTATATATTTTAGTAATATGTTTAATTATTAGAGAAAAACAAATTTGATGCTATATGTAGAAAAAGAAAATTTAAAAGATAAAGACACAACGACCAAGAGAACATCAAATAGGAAGCACATGAGAGAGAACATATGAAACAGGAGGCAAACATGAGTAGCAGTAAAATAAAAAACGTTTTAGAAAAGTTTACTTTTTTCCACTTATCCGATAGTATTTTTGCTAATTTTGCGATGCAAAGTGTAGTTTGCCATAGAGAATTCAAATCTGAAGTCAATTGTAATTAATTCATAAATATGCACTAATTAGTCGTTAACTAGTGAAGCCGACTTTTATAAGATTGTAAAAGGTGTATTCAAGGATGGAGAATCCGAATCTGATGTCAGGTTTAATTAATTAACTTGATTATGCTTAATTAACGTTTTTTCAGCAAAAACCGAAACAACTCAGATCAGAACGTAGTACGTGGATCTGATGCCAGATTCATTTAATTATTATTCATTAATTAATTAGAAAACAGAACCAAAAATTCCCATGAAACATCATTAGAAATAAAAGCATAAAAATGAAACAAAAATGTGTTCTTGTTAGATATGTTGCCAAAACCCTGGTATTTTAGAGACCTATCGATCTTTGATGGCTCTGATTTTTATAGGCGAGATATACTAAATCGTAATATAACTTTATATTAAAAAAAAATTGTTTTTTCCATTAGTCACCAAATAACCTGATGTTTTAGGGACTTCTCGGCTTTGGGGGGTTCTGATTTTTATAGGACACATAGATGAGACATTGGTACACCTCTATATTGTATAAAAAACATTTTAGCTTGGAAAATGGGGGGGGGGGGGGGTCTCCTTAGTGTCAAGTAATGTGTTGTTGTCAATGTCAATATTTCTTCTTCATCATTTTATAGCATATCAATAATACACATAAGCCAATTGTGATCAATATGAAGCAATACTGATAGAATTCTGTTTGAGAATATTGACTAATTTGAATATTTGCATATGTCCCTAGGAGAAAAATCAAAGTTGATTGTATGTAGACACTACGATTACGTTATTTTTAATAGTTTTCATAATTTACTATATTTTAGTACTACATTCAAAGTTTCCTATTTTTATATGATAGGATCGAGCATCGACTACTCTATCGAATCATATACTTTGCATTCTGTTTTCTCTATCTCTGTATGAAAAATTTGAGTGATCTTAAAAAAGTACGAAAAATAATTTTAGCCGTTAGCTCACGTAACATCGTTTTATTCTTTTTTCATCTATACAAACAAAAACTAGTACAATTATAAACGATGTTCGCCATGACCACCTCGAGCATTATAGATCTTCAAAACCCTTTTCGGTCAAGAAGCTAATACTTTGTCAATATAATTTTAATCCGTTTTTTTTCGATTTCAAAAAAGTTGTTATTTCTGTCTTTTTCAGTCGTTATTTTACATATCCCCAGATTACAAAATCCATTGGTACAGCACCAGGACTGTTTGGCATCTACTCCTCTGGTTTGATATAGTTAATTTTACTACGTGGAATAGGTTCAAAATGTATTATAACTAATTGATCAGAAGACGAGAAGTCTAACGGTCTTTCGAAAGGAAAGAGAAAAGCGTTCAATATATATTGCACACATACTATCACGAACACCAAAAAGAACTAGATTATATATGAAGGATGAAAATTTTAAAACAATATGAACCAACTGCAAAAACAGTTTTTCGTACTTTTTTGAGATCACTCAGTTTTCTCATGTAGAGATAGAGAAAACAGAATGCAAAGTATATGGTTCGATAGAGTAGTCGATGCTCGATCCTACCATATAAAAATATGAAACTCTGAATGTAGTACTAAAACACAGTATACTATGAAAAACTATTACAGATAACGTAATCATGGTGTATGATAGAGATTAACTTACACTCTATCATCGGACCGCATGCTATAACTTGTAGCTCACAACGGATCTGGCGAGAAAGTTTAACTATTAATCGGATTGCATCAACACGTAACTCAGTAATTTCTACCATTTCATCTGCACTTAAACTTCTGTTTGTTGTTAATTGAGAAATCATTTGTTTATTGTTTTTGATTGCTTTTTCTAGCATCATATGTGCTACTGTTTTATTTTCTATGATGTTTCTATTGATTTGAGCTATTCAAAAGGAAAATTATATTAAACTATATTTTGTACAAAACAAAAACATACGTTCTGGTAATTTAAATGCATGATCAGCTAGTACTGTAAATAAATCCGCTAGATTCTTTGATAGATTATGAGCTAGTTGAAGAAATTGCTTTCGAAGTTGATATCGATCGAATGATTTGATATGACCTTTGACGATTTCAATCTCAACACCAAGATTGGCTATATGTTGCATAAAATCAAAACTAGAATTCTTGGTATCAATGGTTTGTAACTGTTGTAATGTCGAATAGAATTTTCTAATGCGATTATTTATATCGACAGAAGATTTTTGACTTAATCTATGTAAATAGAAATATGACAATAAAAAATTTCAATGATGTAATTTTAAGTTCTAATTTCTCCACAATGAGAATCTGACAAACATATATCTTACTTGTTTCGCCATTCTCTGTGTAGAGAAAAGTTTTTGACTGGATGCCACCAATTATTTGGCCGCCTTTGTATTTGTTCTAATGTATATGTGTCTCGATAGACTATTGTATTTAATTCAAATGGTGTGACAAATTTCATATTACCATCTTGAATAGCTAATGTATGAAATAGATTTTCAATAAATGTTAATTGACCTCGCCATCGTGCATATTCACCAATAGCTGATAATAATCGACGACTGCAGCCTATAGCACATACCATACCGTTAGCCCATGGAGGAGCAAATGCTGTAGATGATGATCGCCAATGCCAAATATTTATATTTCCATCTCTATTGTACGAAAGAGCAGCAGTAACCATATCGTTAGATGGAGAATAAACTTCATGTAGCGATAAAAATGCTTGAACAGAGGGAATAAAAACATCGTCCTCAATAAACCAGACAAATAAATAATGAGTTGAAACTTTGGAAAAATAATAAAGTGCTTTATCCCATGCTGAACATGATTTTCCAACGCCTATTCTATTAGCTTCTTGAAAACCATATTTTGTACAAACAGTTTCATTGAATTGAAGAAATTGAAGATTTGATGATGAAAAAACAGGAGTAACAAAGGCGTTATTATCGATAAGAATGAATACATCTATGAATGG